ATACTTTTTTTTAGATTATGACGTCATCGATGACGTAAGTAAGTACAAAAAAAAAATTATTTGGTTGCACTGATTTTTTATATTAGTTTTAGGTAGTCCCACTGTAGGTAGTACTATGGTGGGATACCGAATGGGAGTGCTAATTTTTGCTTGAGGGGTGCTTAGCACCCCCAAGCACCCCCCTAGTTGCGCTTATGGAAAAATAACTTATTATATAAAGTCAGAATTTGTAAGATTATCCACTTTTTGTCAATTTGCCTTTTAACAGGAATTAGTAATGTTACTTTACCAAACTAGTAATATATTGTGACAAGTTATTCAAGTACAACTGAGTGAATTGTTGCGGAACTTATAAGTGGACCTCTGCGGGACGAGCGCAGCGAGTTCCGCAGCCATCTATTCATCAATATGTTGTTTAATTACGATACTAACCTGACTTACTCAAATGTGAGTTATTCTCATTCATTGGCGCCGACTACATGGGAGCATTGGGGCAGGTGCACCTATGAGCAACCTCTCATGGGTGCGCAACACCCATGGGAGATCTCGTAGGGATTACGGAAGTACAAACGTGTTTATTGGTCATTCCGTTCCATGTGGTAGCATCAGTATCATGTAATTTAAATTTACACAACTTTGTATAAGAATTATACAATGGCCGAGTTCGTTTGTGTCATCTTTTTCGTCGATTTCTTCCGAAATTTTGACAAGCACGTGATTTGTAAATTGAAACTGTCTTATCCAGTCACGTGCCGATCAAAATTTCGAACCAAATCGACAAAAAAGATGAAAAAATCGTCAAAATTGAACTCGGCCTATGCAAGTGGTATTAGTATCCTGTCCGTCCGTTATGTGGTCAGTTCTATGCTCTATTACATAGGCATTATGGGCAATTTTTCGCGAGGAAAACCAAGCATACTCGATTATGTTAAGATGTTATGTATCAAATTTTGTCATACTCCCCTAACTTCCCCACTATTAAATTCTGGAATACTCGAGGACCAAGAACACTTAACTTTTTCTGTGAGAACAGACTGAAAATAATCCTTTCTTCATTTAAAATCGATAAAAAAATTAACTCACTAGCACAGTCTGAATGGTAATCATTCCATCGAGGTCTGCGAGTGACGTCATCACTATGAGATGCTAATAGTGACGTCATTCGCAGTTCCAGAATTAGTTGGGAAGGGAGTTAGGGGACTCTAACACAATTCACACATAATATTTGAGCATATTCAGATTATGTTTCGTTTGATTATCCTCGCGAAAAATTGCCTTTTATGTTGCTGCTATTCTCCATCTCTATTTTTTGATAATAATCGGGACAGTTCCACGCACAACGGAAAGTCCCGATATTTTATATTCGATATATCGAAAAAATATCGATATAATCTTCTCGATACATCGCGGATCTTTTATATAAGTCCTTTGCCGTGCGTATAGTTCATTGATTGACAGTGACAGTTGATAGAGGCGGCTAAAATAAAACAAAACGTCACTTAGAGCGTGTGCGTCAAGGTTGCCAAGTCTCATGATTTTTCATGAGATCTCATGATTTGGACACATTTTTCATGATTCCATGATTTTGAATAAAAATCTCATGATTTTTGGCGCATTACGCATACTCCGGTAATTCTATTATTTTCATTTAAAATTCAAACTTTGTGTTTGATATTTTAACATTATCTCATCCAAGCGCTTGCGTAGAATGAATATTTCCTATGATTTATAGGTTTGTTCGCACAGAAATTACAAATTAGCCACAGCGAATTTCATTGGTTGAAAACAGTCAGAAAATTTGTTCCAACCAATGAAATTCACTCTGACTGGTTCGTGATTTCTGTGTGAAGAGACCTAATATACATAAATCAGAACCGAGAAACAGGTTAAATGCGTTAACTTTATGACGGGCATTATTTAAAAAAATTGACAGAATAACTAAAAGTTAACTTCTGGAATAACGTTACGCCTAATATAGGAAGTAGGTACCTACCTTACCTACCTATTAAGTAATTTTTATGTTTTGAGGTTTTTATTTTATTTTTTCTGGTATATTTTATGTTTTGTGTTGTATTTTTCAGATAAAAGTGATTTTTTTTATCCAATAAAAATGCATATTATTAAAATAGACGCATTTTTTTGTCGATCCCGATAAAATTAGTCATCTCATGATTTTTACTAAGAATCTCATGCTGCATTTTCTCATGAATAATTTTTTTTCGACCTGGCAACCCTGAGTGCACACTGAGTGTATTCGTGTCCTTTCTACTAGCATATGAAAGAAAGTGACGGAAATACATGTTTTTTGCACTAATTTTACCAACGGTTTTCGCAATTATAATAATTAATGGAATTTCTTGCACTCACCTCTCAAAACTGCGGCCTCCACTTAGAAATTTAATTTTCCGGGTGAAATAAACACAGAATTCGAACCACGACACTTTTCCGAACATTTTTATATAATTTTTCTAATTGAAAACTGGAAAATTCAACGAAAAACTAGCAATCGAAAAAAAAGCGTGTAGCCATTTTGAAACAATAATTGAAACTACACGCATTTGTCACTAGATGGCGCTGCAATCGCAAACAACAAAAACCATTCAAAATCGAATAAAATAACTAATTAGGACTTAATTAAGGCCTAATTACACTAAAATTAATTATAATTAATATAATTATAAGCCTTTATTATTGTTTTAATTAACCAAGTAGGCTTTGGAATGTCTTTTGACAATCGCATGGCAATTTTGACACTTGACAGTCGACCATTATAAGCGGAAAATGGCCAACGCGTTTTTATTTCGTCCGCCCGTTTTTCTCGAAATTTTCCAGTTTTCAATTGGAAAAAGTACTCTAAAGTGTTCGGAAAAGTGTCCCGATTCGAATTATGTGTTTATTTTGTACAGAAACTTTGTGGCTTAGATGGGGGGCCACAGTTCAAGGGGTGAGTACCAAAATACTTGATTTATTGTGTTTTTGTGTATAATTTATGGTGTTTTTATGTGATAAAATGGGGTTTGCAAAAGAAATTGGTATTAAATGAGGAAAAGTACTTTTTCGCACGCATATTTTAAGACGTGAAAGAACCAGGGGACTCAACATTACATAACTATTTCATTTTTTCGCACTAGTGCGAAAAGTGATATTTTCATGGCTTAAAATGCGTGCAGAAAAAAACATTTTTCGCATACTCCTAGAAAAAAAAAAATCGCATCTGGCGGCGCCTGAGGCGAGCTTCCCCCTCCCCTTATAAACAATGTTACAAAGTCGTTATTCTGCACCCATGAGAATTCTCAAAAGTCGGCGCCTCTGTTCTCATTAGTTCAAAAACTACATGTTTCAGGTGAATGTCTCACTTGAAAAGTTCAACAGTATATTGGTGAGTAGATGGCTGCGGAACTCGCTGCGCTCGTCCCGCAGAGGTTCACCCATAAGTTCCGCAATAATCCACTTATTTGTACAGGGTGTTTTTTCATATATCAACACTCCACCTACCTCCTTTTTAGAAACCATGGCAAGAAACAAAATTTGAATGTCAGAAATGTGAAATTTTGCATGCTTCCAGCTTTTTTCAAATGGGATATCGTATATTTCATTTTATATTTTTTGAAGAGCATAATGTCCGGATTCCAAAAATATATAGTTTTTCTATATTTGATTGAATAGTCTTTCATATATTCCCAAAAATTGTAAAAATACTATCTTATTGCATACTGATTTTCTAACCATTTTACCTGTACAGGTGAGAGCTGCAGGTAAAATTTGAGGTAGGTACCTACTTGGTTTGTCTGATAGTATTTTTATCATTTTAGAACCAAATATGTTGAAGCCGGCTTAACCAAATATAGACAAACCATATAGTTTTGGAATTGGGAAATTGTGCTCTTTAAGAATATAGAACTATAGAACCAAATATAGGGCATCCCATAGGTAGTGCATAATTAATATCTCAATAGTCTCATGTGTCTTAAATCCTAATAAACTATTTCTCATAAGTAGTATTGGTGTTTGATTTTCTAATGCAAGTTTTCATAGGTAGTCTAATACACAGTCTAATGATTTAATTATTTGAAAAAACGTATGCAAATAATTAATTGAGTATACCCTAATGGTTTACCCCTTTAACAAGGCAACTTATCTGTCTACTGATTTCTACTGATATTTAGACTGGTAATCTACTAACGAAACAAAATATGACCTGGCAACACTGAACGTTTGACGATTTGCCGTCGGCTAAGCCTACTACATAACAGCAAAGATAGGAGTATCTACTGCTTGCTCCGTTGCCTAGAAGTTGGGACCTATACGCCAGATTTTACCAGTGTTTTCATGTAGTCTACATACTCCGTATTCCTTGTGTTTGGGGTCATGAATCCTCTTTCAAGACATAGTACGGATTTGGGCTGTAACACACTCACAGTTTTATGAAGCCAGAGTTCGCCTCATTGCTCAGAATTCTGAGAATGTGGCAATGCAGTGGCCCTGCTATTTTGCTTAACTGGTCAGGCAAATCCTTTCACTAGGTAAGGCCTAGCATCCTCTGTTGCCAAAGTAGTACTTTGAGAGTACTCGTTTAAACGAGACGAGTCGCCGTTCAATTCTGTGACCTACGATCTTGTATAAAGCTTTGCCCAATATTCCAAATGGCCTGAACACTAATGAAAGTGGAAACGCTCCAAGAAGTTCAACTCCCTAGGGCCGTTGCGAGATAGTGGACATTTGGACACAACAATTTCGCGTTCTCACGTTGCCAGACTTCGGTGAACATTTTGGAAAACAGAGACGTACCGACTATTTTTAAAGCATATTTTTATATGCAATTACACACACGAGGGTCCCTAGAAATGGGGACCTAGCCAGTCCGCCACTGATTTTCACTCATGAAAGTTTTACACACAAAAAGTTCACATTCTCACCTACATAACAATATTCAACACATCAAAGAAACACAACTTTGTCAATTTTAAGATTCTAACGGTAAATAATCATTCAATCAATAGAACACTGAAGATCGTAACCACGACCTGGTGCAAGTCTACAAGTCCTACTTTGAAAGGAACGTGAACCCTGTGAATCTGGCTTTGTTCATTGACAGTTACGTAAAAAGAACAGATTTGAACATCCACCGAGATCCAGATCCCAGCAAGAAAAACGCCTCAACTTTAAAAGTGCCGGTCATCAACATTACCGGTGCTCACAGTCCCCACTCGGACGACACTGTGACTTTCAATGGAAGATTAGATCCTACAAATTCTTCATGGATGAAGGTGATTTTTTTTTGAATTCACCGTTTAATGAGTTTTAATGGGTTTGTTGCAGATTTCTGATTGTGGCATGGTTTTGGAAGAACAACCGGGCAAAGTCAGTGAAGCTTTCAGATTGTTTTTGCAAGGCGAAGGCTACGGTAAGTAAAAGACTTTCAAATGAGCACAATAATTAGGAAACATTATTAATTTTTACTGCCCCAACCATGCAAAACTTAAATAATTTATATTTCAAACAAATTTGTAATATACATAAAAGGAATATAAATAAATTGAATTTTGTAAGTCACATAATATGTTCAAAGAAAATCAAATTTTGCTTTAAGGCCTAAACAATTTATTCTATAAACTATAGAAGTTTGATTTTCTTTTGATTTAGTTACGGTTCGACACCGCTTTCAACGATATATTAGTGCAAATTAGTTGTGAATTTTTTGAAAAATTATGCAAAAAATCCACAAAAAAAAAATCGTTTCCTATGTCAACGATTTCTTAGTTGTAAAACACTAAACACTGAGTTTAAATTTTATTTTTTTAATGTTTGCGTTATGGACAATGTGCGCGAATGGTATGTATATTGTTCATTGTTTTTTTATTTTTTTATTTATTATTTTTTTGTTTATTAAAGCTGCCTCTTTGAAATTGAGTCCCAAAATCGAAGAGGTCTTCGAAAAATATTAATATAGTTGAAATAATCAGAGATAAATTTAAAATATTTTCCTACAATATATTATATTACCTTATCAGTATTAATATTTGATTATTATTAAAAATTATTGAAGAGTTTTTTCTATTTAGTTTTTTATTAGTTTATAAATTCTTGCACATACATTACCATAATTACTAGCAAGCTATTTGAGTTATTTTGTATCTAGCGTTATTTTGCCTTTTTTAAATCGCTATTTAATTATTTTTTTAGCTGTTCATGTGAGACGAAGATCTAGCTGTATGAGTGTTGGTTCGTTAGGAACGTCACCAAAGTAAAAAAAAAAGCTTTTATAAATAGGGTATAAGTTTGCTTTAAAGTGAGGTCAGCGACTATGGACATGTAAGTGAACAAAATCCAGATATACACTGAAATATCGTACCTACACAAAAAGCTGATTCCCATCCAAGGGCGTTTTGAATCAGTTTCAAACCCTTTTAACTTTTTGATTCATTTGTGATAGTTCAAGTTTTAAGGCTCAATTGCTCAAAAACCATTAGAGCTATCAGAATCAATTTAGCACAGATTTATAGAGAATTTGATGCTCTTCCTGATGATACATAATTATTTTGATTTTCTCAAATTTCAGAAAAGATATATGCAATTATTGCTAACTTTGTCAGGATTTGGAAAAAAATACAGAGCCAAAAATTAGATTTTTTTTGTCTTTGAAATTGTTATTTGCAGTGGCGGCTCGTGACTATTTCAAGTGAGGAGGCTAAAAAAATCACGAATTACGGTAAGGTAACCACTGCGCAGCAGACAACATTTGTTTTGGGTTGCTCGTGCCCTCAATAATTTATCTCAAATTCAATAAAAACCATGAAAACCATATAGAGGATTTTTTTGTTCTAATTAAATTTTGTTAGATTTTTAAAGATTTTAAAGATTTTCAGGGATTTTAAGTAAATCTTACGAGTTTTTCTGGAATTTGACCAACTTTATACAAATTTTCATCAATTAACCGCTCAAAGTTTAGTTAAATCCAGAAAATGTGTACATAATTGAATCTTTAGGCATTGATTTTGTAGGATTTTGAGGATTTTGAAAAAACTTCACGTGATTCTAAAAGATTTTAGATTTATGAGATTTTAGGTGATTTTGGATCATTTTAGGAAATTTAGAAACGCGTTTTTATCAACTAATTTAAGAGAGCCCTAATGATAAATATTCCATGGGAATTCTGCAAAAATGTTTGTTAATTCCATAGAAACTCCTCAGAATTTCACTAGAAGATTTTATGGAAATCCTTGAAATTCCACTCAAATGAGAAATTTGAATAGAAAAACAGAAAGTCTTAGAAAAAGGAATTCCAGGGCTACAGTTATACGCGAGCCCGAAGGGCTACAGTTATACGCGAGCCCGAAGGGCTAAAGTTATACGTGAGCTTAAAGGGCCGGAATAATATGCGAGCCCGAAGGGCCGGAGTTATACGCGAGCCCGAAGGGCTAGAGTTATACGCGAGCCCGAAGGGCTAGAGTTATTTTAATTACGGGGCCCCCCAGTCTATAATTCTATTGGTCAGCGGATAATTTGGAGCCAATCAGAAATCGGAAATATTCAAAATAAAATTATTAACATTCCTGAAAAATATTTCCTTTGAAATTCCCAAATTTTTTTTTGCAATCCCCAAAAATCTGTTGAAGTCTCAGAATTTCATAATTTAGTGGAATTTCCAGGAATTTCGGTAGAATAATTATGTTATTCTGAAAAAAGAATTAGATGTAAAATTTATGCGGAGTTTCCAAAGAATTTGCATTAAATTTTAATTCATCTCGAATTATTTGAAATTTCAGTGAAATTCTGATCGAATTACACGAAATCCTAAATGAATTACATGAAGGAATTTTAAACAATTATATGAAATCACACCGAAATTCCCAACATGAAATTTCAGTTGTTACTGAATTTTAGTAATTCCGAAGAATTTCCAGCTAAAAACATGGAATTTCGGTGATATTCCGAAAAATTCCCATGTAATGACATGAAATTTCAATATATTGCGGTGAATTCTTAAGAAATTACTTGAAGTTTCATTAATATTTCCAGAAATTCCTGGCAATTAAAAGAGAATTTCAGTGAAATTCTGAAAAATTCTTATGATAATAAATTAAATTTCGAAAAATTCCTTGATGTTTCATTGGACTTTCGAGAAATTTTCGGTTATGAACGTGGATATTCTCATAAAATTTTAGTAAATTCCAAGGAATTTTTAAGTAATTAAATTAAATGTCAATGAAATTCCGAAGAATTTTATGAAAATTTTGTGGAATTTCAGAATTTCAGTGGTAAAATTTTGGGGAAATTGAAATTGAAATCTTAGTGGAATTCCGAGGAATTTCATGAAATTCTATACTGTAATTCCCAAAAAAATTTGTCCAAGAATTCCATAGAATCTTTGAAATGTTAAGGTATTTCTATGGAATTACTTAAAATTTTCGCGGAATTCCCTTGGAATAACTTAAAATTTTATTGAAATTCCAAAGAATTTGGATGAAATCTTCGAGGGGTTAATCTCTCCCCGAAATCGAGTCACAAATTTGTCCGAAATCCACGAAATCACTCCGAAATCCCTCCAGAATCTTTTGGAAATCTTTCCGTAAACCCAAAAATCCCTCGTCATTGGTTCATAAATCGGCCAACGCGGCCGTTTTTCAGTTTATACTAATACACTTTTGAATATACTTATAAGAACAGTCTGAAATCAAATTAAAATCTTTGCGAAATCACCTGAAATTCTCCGAAATTTCCCGAAATCCTTCGAATTTACCCGAAATCCTTCGAAATCACCCGAAATCCCTCAAAATCGCTCGATTTAATCTTGTCACAGTGAATAATCCTTCGAAATCCTTCCGAAATCCTATTTTTTACTGGAAAAATTTGAGATTTTGGGAAAATGAGCCTTTAACCTTTTTTCTCACATGCAAAAAGTTTCAAAAGTTTTTCCTCACTAGCTTTTCAGGAAAACTTTAAAATGTGTGAAACTGTATTTTCAATTAATTCATTTATTGGACTTATTGGAGGTTGATTTCCAAGATTTTTCAAGTTGTCATTTTCCACTAGAAAAATTGTAAATTTTGGGAAAATAAGCCTCTGACTTTCCTCTTTACATGCAGAAAGTTTCAAAATTTTCTCTTAATTAGTTTTCCCTCGAGTTTTCCAGGAAAACTTTGAAAGTGTGAGACTGTATTTTTCAAGAGGCAAACCACCTTGGAATTCTGTGTTAGAAACTTGATGAATTTATAGGAAATTTGGAAAAAATTTATGGAGAATTTGGAGGATTGTGTTCGATATTGGACAAATTCCAAGGAATAGTCGTAGAATTACACCTACATGGAATTCCTTGAAATCTTATTGTGGAATTCCAGTGAAATTATATCGAAACCGAAAAATTCCCTCGGAATTACAGTAAAAGATTTTATGGAAATTTCGACAGAAATTACCCACAGAATTTCATTAAAATTTAATTCAAGTTTTCGTGGTTCCATGGAAATTTCACGGAAAATTGTGTTTAATTTCGGTTTCGATATAATTTCACTGGAATTCCACAATAAGATTTCAAGGAAATCCATGTAGGTGTAATTCTACGACTATTCCTTGGAATTTGTCCAACATCGAACACAATCCTCCAAATTCTCCATAAATTTTTCCAAATTTCCTATAAATTCCCCAAGTTTCTAACAAAGAATTCCAAGGTGGTTTGCCTCTTGAAAAATACAGTCTCACACTTTCAAAGTTTTCCTGGAAAACTCGAGGGAAAACTAATTAAGAGAAAATTTTGAAACTTTTTGCATGTAAAGAGGAAAGTCAGAGGCTTATTTTCCCAAAATTTGAAATTTTTCTAGTGGAAAATGACAACATGAAGAATCTTGGAAATCAACCTCCAAAAGTCCAATAAATGAATTAATTGAAAATACAGTCTCACACATTTTGAAGTTTTCCTGAAAAGCTAGTGAGGAAAAAATTTTGTATGTGAGAAAAAAGGTTAAAGGCTCATTTTCCCAAAATCTCAAATTTTTCCAGTAAAAAATAGGATTTCGGAAAGATTTCGAAGGATTATTCACTGTGACAAGATTTCAGATTTAGAGCGATTTTGAGGGATTTCGGGTGATTTCGAAGGATTTCGGGTAAATTCGAAGGATTTCGAGAAATTTCGGAGAATTTCAGGTGATTTCGCAAAGATTTTAATTTGATTTCAGACTGTTCTTATAAGTATATTCAATGGTGTATCAGTATAAACTGAAAAACGGCTGCGTTGGCCGATTTATGGTTTACGGAAAGATTTCTGAAAGATTCCGGAGGGATTTCGGAGTGATTTCGTGGATTTTGGACAAATTTGTGACTCGATTTCGAAGATTTCATCAAAATTCTTTGGAATTTCACTAAAATTTTAAGTTATTCCAAGGGAATTCCGCGAAAATTTTAAGTAATTCCATAGAAATACCTTGTTATTTCAAAGATTGTATGGAATTCTTGGACAAATTTTTTTTCGGAATTACAGTATAGGATTTCATGAAATTCCTCGGAATTCCACTAAGATTTCAATTTCAAAATTCCATATTTTTTTTTTTTTAACTTTACTAAAATTCCCCAAAATTTTACCACTGAAATTCTGAAATTCCACAAAATTTTCATAAAATTCTTCGGAATTTCATTGACATTTCATGTAATTTCTTAAAAATTCCTCGGGATTTACTAAAATTTTATTTGAATATCCACGTTCATAGCCGAAAATTTCTCGAAAGTCCAATGAAACTTGAAAGGAATTTTTCAAAATTTAATTTATTTTCATAAGAATTTTGCGGAATTTCACTGAAATTCTCTTTTAATTGCCAGGAATTTCTGGAAATATTAATGAAACTTCAAGTAATTTCTTGAGAATTCACCGAAATATATGTCATTACATGGGAATTTTTCGGAATATCACCGAAATTCCATGTTTTTAGCTGGAAATTCTTCGGCATTACCTTACTAAAATTCAGTAAGAACTGAAATTTCATGTTGGGAATTTCGGTGTGATTTCATATAATTGTTTAAAATTCCTCCATGTAATTTATTTAGGATTTCGTGTAATTCGATCAGAATTTCACTGAAATTTCAAATAATTCGAGATGAATTAAAATTTAATGTAAATTCTATGGAAACTCCGCATAAATTTCACATCTAATTCCTTTTTCAGAATAACATAATTATTCTACCGAAATTCCTGGAAATTCCACTAAATTATGAAATTCTGAGACTTTAACAGATTTTTGGGGATTCCAAAAAAAATTTGGGAATTTCAAAGGAAATATTTTTCAGGAATGTTAATAATTTTATTTTGAATATTTCCGATTTTTGATTGGCTCCAAATTATCCGCTGACCAATAGAATTATAGACTGGGGGGCCCCGTGATTAAAATAACTCTAGCCCTTCGGGCTCGCGTATAACTCCGGCCCTTCGGGCTCGCATATTACTCCGGCCCTTCGGGCTCGCGTATAACTCCGTCCCTTCGGGCTCGCATATTACTCCGGCCCTTTAAGCTCACGTATAACTCCGGCCCTTCGGGCTCGCATATTACTCCGGCCCTTTAAGCTCACGTATAACTTTAGCCCTTCGGGCTCGCGTATAACTGTAGCCCTTCGGGCTCGTATTACTCCGGCCCTCCGGGCCGGTATTACTGAGTATCCCAGATTCACAGATTTTTGTCGTGGAGGCGCGGGATTGATTGAAATAATGTTGTCAGATTTTTCTAAATTAAATTGAAATATCGAAATTTGGAAAGTGTAATTTGTGAATTATTATTTTAATTAGAAATAAGGAATAAAAAACTGAGATTGAATTTTCAATTTTTTGGGGGAGGCTTAGCTTCCCCTGCCTCCTCTGACGAGCCGCCACTGGTTATTTGGTAGTTATGTTAGGGGCTTTTATGACTAATTTAGATTTAAATCGGTCAAATTTAGATCTGCTTTATCGATTGTAAAAGTAAAAAATTGAAAAAGCTTGAAAAATAAACTTCAAATGTCCATAGAAATCTCTAAAATCTTACTGAAAATTGCCTGTGAAAAATGTTTCTAGTGAGCTAAAACCTCCAAGATTCATGAACTGAAATGTCTTTTATATAAAATGACAAGGATTTGGGGACTGAAAAATTAATTCAGGCAATTTTTCTTTACAAAAATCCCTTTTGATGGGAACCAGTTTTAAATCTTTCCACTAAAAAAGACAAAATAATACTCTCACATATGAATTTCATCCATAATATTAACACAATTTTTCTGAATATAGGAATGGATTGTATGATGGTATGTTTCAGTCAAAAGTTTTACTTAACTTTTAAATTCGATTATTTGTTGCAAGCATGAGTGTTGATTTTATTTATAATTTAAATTGCACAAAACCAAACACCAAAAAATACTCCGCTTAATTTTAGACGAGTGTCCCAAACAACAATCACAAAATAATTGTTTGTTTTTGTGATTGTTGTTTGTGAAACACCCAAAACTAAAAATTTTCCTATGATTTTCAGTGGCTCCGCTGTCTCCCGTAAAAATGGCCATGTTCCGTAAACAATCGCTGGAAGAATTATTTAGGGCCCGACTTCAAAGTACCGGTCAGTGCTTGCAAGGAATTATTAACATTACAGAAAATCCTATATCGGCTGTAGTTTGTTAAACTCACTTAAATTTTTGAATCTCATTTAAAAACTATAGATTATTTAGAAGCTATTTTTGGATTGGGGACACAAAATCAAACTACAGGGAATGATTTATAATTTTACATTAGGATTGGAGGGTAAAAACTGTATTGAAATTTATGTGATAAATCAATGAGGACAATAATAAATTTCAATACAGAAATTTCAATATAATAATTTCTTGGCCACTGCCTCTATATCAAGGAAATAGAAGAAGCGAAGCACATATCCTACACATTGAACTATAAAGGAATTTTTATAAATTTGATTTTTAAATAAAAAACAGAGCTTATTTTACATAAATAATTTGAATCCTACCTAGACAAAGGAGGAATTGTATTAATTTAGAAATAGTATATGCTTTGTAGATATTCTTTATTTTGCCAGGGTGTTCAATCAATCAAAAAAAAATTATTATAATAATAATAATAATTCACCCTGTATAATATGTATTATTAGTAGTATTTAGGCCGTGTTGCTTTTTAACTTTTTAAGTATAAAATAATATATTTTTAAGACGAGCTTTTTTATTTTTTGTTTCAAACTACAGTATGCTTTAGTTTAAGGCCGATTTCAAGTGCAAAAACTAATTTAAATGTGATGGAATTATAAAAATAAAATACTTTATATAAGAAAAATAATGCGCATTGTGCCTCACTTTTGATTATAATTTAAGTTAAGCACTGATTGATTTTAATAAAAATTGTTTGAAAAAATGTTTGAAATTAGTGGTTTTATTCAAGCTAGATTTGTAGAGGATTCGATTGGCTTTATTTTGAGCCTAATTACGTTAAAATCGGATTGAAATTATCAAAGTTGTGATGCAAAATGTGTGCCAATGTCAATTGAATTTCCAAAAAATGACATTGACGGACGTAATTCTTCTTCACCTTGATAAACATCAATGTCGAAAAAATTTGACTTGTAGAGATTTAATTGGCTTCGTTTTGAGCCTAAATCGGATACAGTATAAAAACGATTACTGTTCGCATGACATACATGAGAGAGATGACATACTATTGTATTTTGGTTGCTACAGTGGTCGCTACTCACAGAAACATCCTTGCATAAGGTCTTCCAACCGACATGAGAACCTTTGCCATTTTAATGTAGGACTGATTGTCTTCAAAAATTTCATTAGAAGATTTCATTATAACTGACTTTCACAGAAAGTCGACGAACAAAGTCACATAACCTTTAAATAGCAACATCAATGTTAATATTTTTTTTCAATTTTGGGCCTAAATTTAATAACTGTGGCAGTTGTTGGAGAGCTCAGGCAACAGAGCTTTTCAGCAAGAGATAAGGGAGCTCTCCAACAACTGCCATAATTATTAAATTGAGGCCCAAAATTGAAAAAAATAATAACATTGACGTTGCTATTTATAGGTTATGTGACTGTGTTTGTCGACTTTCTGTCAAAGTCAGTCATAATGAAATCTTCTATTGGTTAAACTTCCTTACTCAAAATTACTCTTAATACATTCGGTGACACACGATGACAAAGCGACATACTCTGCTTCTGCACTTGACAGAGAAACCGTTGTTTGTTTCTTTGTTCTCCAAAATATAATGTTATTATACAACTTTATGATGAAACCACTAATACTTTTTCTGTGATGTGTAAGAGCTAGCAAAATCTGCATTAACATAATTTATCTTCTTCACAATCTGTAGTCCAAGGGTAAAGGTAAATTTATCACATTTCCCTATCAACTAGCACTGAAAGATGATAAAGTTTACCTTTATCTTTGGAGATTGGATTGTGAATAGATAATACTCTACTGTCCCTACTAGAACATTTTAAAAATTTCTGTCATTTTTACAGAAATTTAGGCGGGTAACACACTGGAGAAAAAAGTTTCATGAAACCTTTCGCAAAAAACAGGAAATTTGTTTCATTATCACACGACACATACACTTGGCCCAAACATAAAACTGGTACGCATTTTCCCATTGTAAAGTATGGTTTTTTTTTAAAGATAAAAGTCAAAATGACATTATGTTGGCAATACAATGTAAAATTGTCAATACTTTCAAATTTTTTATGTAGAAAAGGCTTGTGTTGCCAACATAGTTACTAAATTTTTGACTTGGGGAATTATCTTTAAATAAAAAACAAACTTTACTGTATTGTGTAAATCTACCTTTTTTATAATCTCAACAATTACAAAAAGAGTCAAGTCAGTGTCATATTTAAACCAATCATAACATAAAAACATGTTGCATTTCCTCAAGGATGATAAACACTACTACAACAGGATGGCCTATCCTCATAAGGCCTGTGTGTAACAAATCCCTCCCTTCCCCCCTAAGCCAAACAACCAGTTGTGACGTAAGCAACAAGTTATTTCTCGCCTTGACGTAGGCTGTTTAAACAGCTGATGACGTCGGCAATGGTTGCACGTTGCACACCAATATGGCGGCGATTACCAAAAACGAGGCCGATGAGCACTCCTTAGCGTGTGTATTCTCCTTGGCATTTCCTTTTGTTCAGCTCACGTTCAGCTTTGACATTGACAAAAACTGTCTAGCCTATGTTTTTCAGAAGAGATTTTTTGTAGTTAAGCCTGACTCACACTAGGCAAATTGAAAATACCTATATGTTTTGCCTGTACCAGTTTTATGTTTGGCCAAGTGTACATTCAAATGAGACGGCGCACACTGGCGAAACAATTACTGCTCTCCTGTTTCAGAAACGCCAGTGTGCGCTGCCTGATTTGAATGTGTCATGTGATAATGAAACAAATTTCCTGTTCCTTTCAACAAGTTTCATGAAACTTATTCCTCCAGTGTGTCACCCGCCTTAATCGTAAATTTTCTGTCCCTTTCAAATATCGCCAAACATGTTTCAGATGTCAATGCTTAGAACTAAAATTCTTTCGAAAAATACTAAAATATGTTACTGAAAAACATAAATCTGGCCTAGAGACCAACATCAAATACATGAGATACCCAATAAGCTGTCTATAAGGAAATCTTTCTGAATTTGCCTGATTTACTGTCTCAAAACTAGTATTTAAATTTGGCTGAATAGGAATACTACCTATTTTTGCCTCGTTTATGTTAAAAACTGTCAATTTTCTGAATTAATTGTTTCTGGATAATGAGAAGTTGATCTTTAGCAGGGATGTTCCAAAAGAATTTGTAAATGTGCACTTGACAGTATAAAAAGTGGGCATATCTGACACAAAATGTGCATCCCCCTTGTTTTGCTTTTCAATGTTGCCGGTTGCCAATATGTATATTTATTCTTACAACGTTGCCAGTTCCGATTGCCAATATTTTGTATTTTCATTGTCGAGCAGGCTGGCCTGGGGTGGGGCCGGCTGAGCAGTGGCGTACCAAGGATGATACGCACCTACAGGATTGTTTATGGGCCTCGTTTTTGGTGGTGATCGCCGCCATATTGGTGTGTCATCATTTCCGACATCGTCATAATTAATTCGTCAGCTGTTTAAACAGCCTACGTCAAGGCGAGAAATAACATGCTGCTTACGTCACAACTGGTGATTTAGCTTGGGGTGGTGAGGGAAGATTTGTTCCACACAGGCCTTACGAGGATAGGCCATCCTGTAGTATTAGTATGTATCATCCTTGGTGGCGTACAGGTTAGTAAAGTGGACTGAGTGTAGAGTATGGGAGTATGTATAGAGTACAGTGTAGTTACACTCAGTACAAATATACTGAAATGAAACCCCAAATTCAGAATATTTTGTGTTCTATTTATTGACTAAAAAATTGTGGCAGATTTATTCTAGAAATCAAAATGTGCATATCTAGAGATTGGGGTGCATACTGTGCATATAAATTGAAAGTGTGCATCAATATGCACAATTGTGCAGTTTGGAATATCCCTGATCTTTAGTTCTTGAGATATTAAGACCTAAAAATCTCATGCTACTTTCATTAGTTAGATCTCGCAATTCAAACATTTTCATTAATTCACTTTAATTTTTATTTAACTTTTTTTTCTGAATCTGAAAGTAAGTATAGGTGAGGAAATATTTGCTTTTCATCACCCACTCAACTTGTCCCTCCTAAGTATGATATTGCGAAAAAAAAGCTAAACAATCATTTTGTACCAAAAATAAACATAGAGTTTGAGATTTTCAACTTTCGATAGGCTAAACAAAACAAATCAGAGAACATTGAAGAGTATTTGCTCGTTTACTGAAATTAAGCACAAACTGTGGTTTCCCAAATAAAAATAAAGAAATTAAGTCCCAAATAATCCAATGTACCACATCTGTTAGGTTGAGAAAGTATGGCCTTGCTGAAAAATCCTCACTAGAGCAACTCTTAGCTCAAGCAAAAGCATACTAGTTTACTGAAACTCAAGCCCAACAAATGTGAATGTCGGAACAATCTGAAGTTGTTTCTAGAACAAACAAAAAACCTTAATTTGAACAAACAAGATTTGGCCGTACTCATAACAACACGAACTCTTGACAACAGAACATGTAGAAATTGTGGTAATCAGTGGCACATGAGGCGGTAAACAAGACTGTCCAGTCAACATCACCTGTCATTTTTTTAGAAAAACAGGGCACTTCCAGAAGTTATGTATAGTCAAACAGAAGTTCCAACAACAAAGTTAAAGTAACGTAACAACAGAACAGCACATGTAAATACATACAATCATTCACAAGTAGAACCATCCATATCACGCAAAAGTCAACAAGACAATAACAATCACAGGAATTATAACATTATTCAAAATAATAACAGAAACAACAACAGAGCGTATGTTAATTTCAATGCCCCTGAAAAAGACACTGATGAGAGTAGTTCAAATCACTCATTCTGCATAACGGTTAATAACATTAGAGATGTACCTGTATTCAATATCAATATCCATAATCGATCTTTAGAATTTGTAATAGATACTGACTGGAGCATCAGTCAACTTGATAAGCAAATCAACATTTTTGATACTATACCAATCAAATGTGACTTAACTAAAGATGCAATATTTTTGTAATGTGCAAAACAAAAACTAGAAGTTCTCGGGAAAGTTAAAACACAATTGTCCCACAAAAATAACGCAACAGAAGCAGTAATTCGTGTAGTGAATGGAGAATGTCAATCACTTCTAAGTTTCAACATCTTCTTGCAACTCAAATTAATACATATGACAAACAAACAGTGTTTCTACAAAAATTTACCTAGATTATGTCAAGAACAAATACCCAGATATATGCACAGGTGTAGGAAATTTTTCAAACTTTAAAATCCATCTACACATAGACAAAAATGTTAAGAAACCAACAAGCAGACATCATTGAAAAAGCAGAAAGTCCTACGCCATGGGTATCTCCAATTGTCATCTTACCGAAACACAACAAAGACTTGATTCGAATTTGTGTTGACATGAGGTTAGCTAACAGAGCAATAGTACTTGAAAGACACCTAACACCAACTATCAGTGACGTCATTACCCAGCTTTAATGGTGCAACACAATTAAGTCCAATCGACCTAGGATGGATTCCATCAGCTGACTATAAACAAAGATAGCATATACATAACAACATTTTCAACGCATGTAGGTCTCTACAGCTATAAACATTTGAGTTTTGGCATGAATGCTGCTGCAGAAATATTCCAAAATGCAATTAGACAGATTTTAATAACCATTCCTGAAATTTTGATTTATAGTGACGATATTTTAGTATTTGGCAACACTGTAGATGATCACTACCAGTCTCTAGAAGCTGTGTTATACGG